GTGCTGCTACCACAGGTTGTATTTATAACTGTGTGCTGCTATCACAGGTTGTATTCTTTACTGTGTGCTGCTACCACAGGTTGTATTTATAACTGTGTGCTGCTATCACAGGTTGTATTCTTTACTGTGTGCTGCTATCACAGGTTGTATTTATAACTGTGTGTTGCTACGACAGGTGGCGTGCGCTCTGCACTGCCGATGATCACCATGACGAGTCCGCCCAGCTGCAGCGCCCCCGAGCGGCCGGCGTCCGCGAGCGACCTGAACACCGACGACCTGGCCGCGTTCGGCGAGGCGGAAGAGAACCTCAAGCTGCTGACGCCGTCCGAGGACGAGAGCGAGGGCGAGGCCGGCGTGGTGAGGATGCACGCCATCGCCATGGCAACGCCGGAGCAGCTGCGCACGACGTCGACGCCGGCGTCGGTGCACAGACCGCCGACCGCCGCCAGCTCCATCAACGAGGCGGCGATGGTGAGTGTGTACGGCTGGTGCACGCGTGCGTGCGTCCGTAGTGTGAGTGCGTGCGTGTGTGCGCGCGAGTGCGTGGGTGTGTATGTGTAGGTGGGTGAGTGCATGTATGTGTGTGCCAGCGCTTGCATACGTGCTTTCGTGTGGTGCGTGTGTGTGTATCGTTAGCTTCTGTGAGACAGACAGTGCACGTGTGCACAGTGCGCCACCCGTCCTGTATTCGGGTGTTGGATTCTAGTGTAAAATAAATGGCCGAGTATGACAAAGCACATACCACGGTGCCCTAACTTGCATGAAAACAACATGATTTACTTACTAATACTAGCATAGCCCAGACTAAAGACAATGTGAATTTCAGGACTCTCTGCTCAGTGACGATGGATCTGATATCTCAATAGAAGATGTGAATGTCACACTACAGCAGGTATGGAGGCGTGGCAGCAAGCTAGAGTGGAAGCTGCATGACACTAGCCAGGTCAGAACCACGACGTTGCCTATTCAGAGAGGAGAAAACAATTACATTACCATATACCAAGTCTCGATCTGAAGTCTCCTCTGTTTTTACATAATCGACAACGTCTAACAAATCGCCCGTCAGTTTCCGTCGGGTTTATTTACCATGGAAACCACATTAAAAACGATTTAGGCAAAAGTAATTCCATTAGAAACGTATAGAAGCGAACGCGTGTGACGGAATTCTGCGAGTAAGCGTGCGCATGTGCGTTAACTAAGTGCTTTTGTCCGCAGGTGAGTAGAGAGAGCTTTGGTAGGACCGCCAGCCACACATCTCGCGAAGAGGCAGAGCTGCTCAGCTCAGACGTGGGCGCAGCGGACAAGTGGAACCTGCACCAGTTGCACGGCAAGCCCTCGCCGCCCGCCAAGTGCATCCCGGGCTTGCCCGCCAGGGGGCAGCACGTCAGCCCGCAGAGCTCGGAGTTCTCGGTGATCAGCATGTCGGACGCGGCCCTGCTGGACGGCGCCGCCGACGACACGGTCGTCACGGCGACGACCTTCGAGAAGAACGAGTCGTGGGTGAACGTGTCGAGCAACGTCTCCACGGCGACGACCGGCGGCGGCGGCGACTCGCGGACATCGTCCAGCTTCGACCACGTCGCCGAGTCCAACTCGAGCTTCGCGGACGTCAGCGGCGACGTTGCTGCCATCAACAACAACAACTACCTGCCCGACCTGACGGCGACCTGCGCCGGCTCGGCTGCCGATCCGACGACGGGGAAGGACGTCCGCGATGCGGCGGGGTCACGCGAGCGGGACGATGACGACGACGACGACGACACCGTACCCTCGCCGACGTCGCCCAACGCGGAGGCGTCGTACGAGATCATCAGTTCGGAGAGCTACGTCGACGAGACGAGCGACGTGATAGCGACGACGGCAGGCGACGCGCGGCAGCGGCAGAAGCAGCGCGGCCGCGCGCTCAAGGCGCTCTCGCCCGTCAGCAGGGGCGGCAAGCTGCTGTCTCAGCTGCGGCAGGGCGAGCGACAGACGCGGCCCGTCGGCAAGGTGCTGCCCAGCTTCCACGCGACGCTGCTCAGCGAGCATCCGGACGCCGCCTCCGCCACAAAGTGCGTCGCTGTCGAGTGCGCCGCGCAGCAGGATCCGTGCTGCGCGCCGACCGCGCTCGTCTCGCCGCCAGGTGGCGCCGGCATCACGCAGAGTCTGGCGCGGCCGGCGGGCGGCAGCGT